ATCTGACTTCTATATTGAAGTAGTCTCCACATCAGAACTTCAAAAATGGATGTCATCTATCGAGAAGCAACTAAATGAGGTCTGCATTATTGCCACGGAAGGCAAACTGAATTCGGAGCAGAAACTAAGAATCAGTAACCTGAGCCGCAAAATAGGATCTGGCGTCTCTCAAATGTCAGTCCTATACCAGTCTCTGAAGCAAAAGGCTAACCAAGCAATCGACATAATTGACAACCTTCACGAAAAACGAGACCTAGCAGAAGAAATCATTTAATTAAAAGAAACAATTAAGACCTTTCCCGCAACAACAAACGTGTCCTTTGCTGATATGGTAAAAAAAGGGTCAAATGATTACATAAAACCCAGTAATCTAATCTCTGTCGCCATTTACCCTGTCAACAAATTAAAATCTAGTGACGAAACTAAAACATTAGTTCAGCAAATCATTCGCCCGGATCAAATGAAACTACATGTGCGTGGAGTCAGGAAAATTCAAAACGGTGGTGTGATAATTAGCACTGAGACCAAGGAAGATGTTGAGAAGGTAAAGCAGGCAGTTAACCTTTTGTCGACTGGACTTATTACCGGTGAGCCCAACAAGCGCCAACCAAGAATAACGGTAGTAGGAGTGCCCACTTCTATGACTGATACTGACGTATTAAAGTGTCTCTATGAGCAAAATGTCGCTGAAAATTTTCCGGAGATGTCACTGGAAGCCTTTTTAAGCAACATCAAATTAAGCCATAAATCCGGGAAGAAAGATACAGCGAACTGCAATTTCATCATACAGGTTCCAGCTAAGATCCGCAAAGCCCTCATAACTCAAGAAAGGATATACATAAATTGGACTTCTTGCCCTGTGAGAGATTATACATTAGTTACCAGGTGCTACAAATGCCAACAGTATGGCATGCCGCTAAAATATGCAGAGACCTCTCGTCATGTGGACACTGCGGAGAAATGGGCCATGTAACATCTGCGTGCACGAAAAAAGTAGAAGCTTCAAAATGTGCCTCTTGCTCTCGCTTTAATAAGCCCAGTGATCATAAAACGGGAGACCCTGAGTGCCCTGCTACTTGCTAGGAAGATAGCAGAACTCAGATACATCAATTCGATTGACTACGAGGGCACATATTGCGTCATACTCTAGTCTAGGTCACATTACCGAATTGACACTTCCGAAGCCTTTCCTTGCACAACAACTACACTACCTATATATCAAACATATGATTATTCATCGCCCTTTTGCTGAATAAGCACAATTATTATTGTGAAATTAAGAACCAAGTGAATGACCGTATGGACTTTAGCCTAGTATATGTTTCTGCTGATGCATGTTAATTCCTCGGCAATAGTGATAGTTTTATTTTCGAACTGATTTATAATTATATTGTTTACGTATGTATATTTATTTTTATATTTATTTATTAGATACATTATAATATTATATTACGATTAGTTATGGACCTCAGCCTATCTTTTCTGAGAATATAGGGCAGAGGTTATGTTTTGTATGTAAGTATGTTTGAATGTATGTATATTAAAATAATTATTATATTTTTTTTTTCTATTGCATTCTGATAAATATTTGTGTTTATAGAAATAAGATGTGCTATTGTAAAAATTATATTTAGACCTCCTCTCGCCTGCGATACAGGATTGTCCTAGTGCAGGCATCGAACTATTTGAGGTCAATTGTACGTAATTTAGATATATATTTTCGAATTTTGCATTTTTGTTATTATGAATAAAGTTTTATTAGTTTATTAGTTTCAAAATTATACCACATTTTCGCAAATAATTAGTGGTTGATGAATATTCTATTCGTTGGTCTTTTTACATCAAAATTAAGATATTTTTTAGGAAAACTATTTTTTGTCATGCCCGGGCCACACCAACGAGAAATGCCATTAAGTAGGTACTTATCGCGATAATGCACGTTCACCGTAGGTGCAGCCACGAGTCAACGCGATAATTTGACTACGGCATTCACATTGCCGTTTGGTATGATGGGCATTCACGTTGAAATTTCCAGTGTAGCAACCCACTGTATCGCGTTAAAATTATCGTAGGAAACATCGCCATAATCGATATTGACATTGACGTTCGCTCAACTTTCAGTTAAAATGAATGAATGCGGCAGTTTATTGCTGATTTTAGAAAGTTATAATAATAGTAGGTACATACATTCTCCTTACTAAAAATACGAAATAAAACTAGTTTGCATGACCATAAATACTTAGATGCATTAAAACTTGTTTGAATGTTTTTAATTTTAATTTTTAATTTTAATTTGACGGGTACTCCTACCCACCAGTCAGACGTGGAGGTAGAGCTGTGAATGAGGCCTACTGTTGTCACTTTGGTAATTTATTGCACATAGTTTACTTACAATCCAACAGCAACTCGGGAATTGTGTAGGTAAATTGACAATAACCTCTCACCTTGTAGCAATGTTTTGAAACTCGTTGTATACGAAACTGTGATATTTTCTTAAAGGTTGCGTTTTATAACGCTAATATATCGGAGGACGACATCGACGTATAAATTATGAAATTGTTTTACTTAATTTCAAATAATATTTTTCTGTAGGTGCCCGAGTTGGTGCGCTCAGTTCCTCCTGAGCGTATTCTTGCTCTCCGGCAGCAAACACAGTTTTTATGGGAGCAATATTTTTCGTCAATTGAAAAAATTGTATTTACGACGATAGAGGTAATTATTAAAAGTTTTATAATGTGCGCAGTTTGTAGTTTTCTCTCAATAAAAATACAGAAATAAACAGTTGCGTACGTTCCTTTGACCTAAATATTTTTCATGTCTTACTTTTACTAAGTTTTAATCGATATTCGTTGTTGAATATTATTTTTACATTTACAGATTTTACTAGAGCGCGTGCTAGAACACAGATTGTCAAAGCAACGTGAAGCTTTAATTTGGAATGCATCTCCTGGTGCCCTAGGAACTTTAGCAACTTATGGTGACTCCCGAGTTCATTTTCCTATTTCAGCCCCTATTCTTCAAGCCCCTATTTGTCCGTCTAGTCCTTTGTCTCCACTCCCAGCCCCTTCGGTACCCCTGGCAGCACCACCACCTACACCAGGCAATACTTATACAGCTTTATTATATGTTCAAGCTACATCACCGGCGTTACATAAATTACTTGCTAATATAGCAAGCAGTGAATATTGTGAAAAGGTAATATAAGGAAAGGAAATATCCAGTATATCAAATCAAGTCGTTTCATGATTTAAGATACTGATAACATTATTAAGATTATCAATGTAAAGACTTACGTTAATGCGACTATTAATCGGTAGGTCGTTTTGGTGTGGGATAGCGAACGTGCGGCGCCTTCGCTAAAGTCGCTATCACGCTTAGCAGGCGATACGCGCGATCCGCTACCCGTCCTCGTTGTTGACGCCACCACCCACTATCCTGGGTAATTTCAGTATACTTCTGACTATTTAAACTTTTTTTTCTATTTTGTTAAGGTTATTCTATTAATACCTGTTATTATTTCAGGGAAGGTGTTTCGGCTAGGTGGCAACCATTGTGGGCGGTCCCCACAGCTGGTGTATTTTCTCTAGACGGTGATGCTCCTCTTTTGGCTGAAGAACTTGACTTTGCTTTTCGTGTTTGGAAACATTTTCCTGAGCGAATAGTCGGCTACCCGGCTCGAACTCATTTTTGGGACGAAGCAAAGGTTGATTTTAATCTATCTATTAGACATTGTAATACAGCAATAATATAATGTATTAAATATTGTGGTTTTGTCAAATACAGGGAGCTTGGGGTTACAGCAGTAAGTGGGGTGATTCATATTCAATGGTGTTGCCGGGCGCGGCTCTAGTGCATCGCTCGGTCTTGGCCCAGTACGCGGCCGCCGCCCCAGCGCTGCGGCAGGCCGTACGCCGGACGCGCAATTGCGAGGATATATTATTGAATTGTCTTGCCTCACATCTCACCCGACGGCCGCCACTCAAATTAGCTCAACGGCGTCGGTATAAAGCTACACATCATAAATATAAGTAAATATTTCATGTCCTTTTTATTACTTCTTTGTCTTAGCATGTTTATCAAAACCTAATTTTATTAATTAATGTAGGTAGTAGGTTAATTTATACCATTAAACTGTTTTATGCAATAACAATGATAATTACTTTCATAACGTCATACACATTTTTCTTGAAATTAGGGCAAGTTGAAGACATTCCTAAATAGTTATTTGCTTTTTGTTCCAGATCTTCTTGGAGCGACCCTGAGCACTTCGTGCAAAGGCAATCCTGTCTCAATACATTCGCTACTGCCTGGGGTTACATGCCACTGATGCGGTCAGTTTTGAGATTAGATCCGATACTGTTTAAAGATCCTGTATCGACACTTCGGAAAAAATATAGAAAAATGGAGCTAGTAACTTCTTAAGTCTCCTTAACCCTTTAATTGATTATTATTACATCTTTTTAACTAATAAATGTGGGTTAAACAGACTGAAGATTGTTTTTTATTTTCCTTTAATATCACAAGCCTGATTCAAATGACTAATTTATTGGACGCTGTGCCGGCTGTTAGGTTTCTCAAGCAGTAGGTCTGACCTAATCTGAACACCATTGCACAAAAAAAAACGGTTCTATTTAGACCCTAAAAATTTCTCAGTAGGTATAAAAAATGTGAAATAGATACAAATATACAATGTACACAAATAACTGCTAAAAGTGCTTGATGTTAGTTTCGCAAGCAACGATGAAAGCCGTCATTGCTTACCTACCTTCTTGAGTAAGTAGGTATGTACTAATATTGTAATGAGGTACCTACCCAGTGTACCACCTATTTAATAAGTCAATTGGTCGAAACGCCAAATATTAAGAAGAACCGCCGGGCCATCGAACTGCATCGTAATGGTAGGTAAGCGTTGCATAAGTAGAACACAAGCTGACATAACGAATAACTACTTCGCAATCAGCGCCAGCGGCGGCCTTGGCACCGATGGTTCCTGCGCGCGGGCTTCGCACGCTTAGTGTGAATACCGCGCTACGCAGTGCACTCGTCTTAGTTCGCGAAGCTTGAGTGCAATCGCTTCGATTATCGTCTTGTACATCGATTTGCTAGGTAAATTGTTTCAAGTTTTAAGTTTCAGTGACAGTTACACAACAAGTTCAAGTAAATGTGAATATTGTGTTTGTGTTAAATGTAAATAAACCACTTTAGTTACATTTTAAGAATCTTTTGTTTGAGTATTAAGTATAGATATTTAGCTAATACCTAGGTAGTTGTTGCGGAGAACCTAACGGGTAACCGGGGTTCCGGCTCGACGTGCAGGAGAAGGAATAGGGTGGTTTTTAGTCGGTAAGAGTCTGACACTCCCTCCCGCCGCACCCAGGCGGGAGCAGTCATTCGATGATTTTTCCCCCTTAAAAAAATACCTAGGTAGTTAATAAGGTATACTGGTGTAATTCATTCTAGCAAGGACAACGTAGGAAAATAAGGATTTCTCATCGGAACGTAAGATAGCCGCCTAAAAACTTGTCCAAAATCTTTATTATTGACAACTTAAACTTATATTTTACATTTTATTACAAATATTTAGTTTCCTATGAGTTTTAAGACACTGTGTGTATGTAATAGTTTCAGTCCCGGGTTTGCCCGCGGTCCCGTGGGATAAAAAGTAGCCTGTATGTTTTTCCAGACTATAATCGATCGCTGTTTCAAATTTCGATCCGATCCCTTTAGCCGTTTTGATGTGATTAAGTACCAAACATACACATAAAATCACAAACTTTCGCATTTATAATATTAGTAAGACAGAATAAGAAAATAAAATAAAACACTTTTTTATCCTGCACCATTTTGTATGAGATATCTCTCATATTGTATGAGCTATGTAAGTGTAAAACCATCTTGTAACTTACCTATGTCAAAACTTACATGTACGATCGATGTACATTATACCCTACGATGCTACGAGCATCGTAGGGTATATCTACAACTACAGACGAGGTCAAAGATAAAAAAAAATTAACGTTTTCAATGTGTTTTATACATTAAACTGTCAAACACCAAGCGGTCACCGGTGACCGCGACCTATTGTTCTTTAATTGTGTCTATAAAACCGGTACTCGACGAGTTAATTGCAAATATTTTGTTTTTTGCTATTTATTAACTTACTAGCTGAGCCATATATAAATTAATATACTTACACGTATTTCCTTCACGGTTCCGTTAAACTGAAGCTTGGTCATTGTTCTCGGTCGAAGTCTTTATCAATGGGATGTCCTCAGGGCTCGGTTATCGGTCCGTATTTATGGAATTTAGGATTTGATGATTTGCTCGCGATTCCCCTTCCTTGTGGCTGTACTTTGACTGGATATGCGGATGATGGCCTTTTGCTAGTACAGTCAAATACCCGCGCCGGACTGGAGAATTTAGCTAAAGACTGTCTCAGTAGGATCTCGCGATGGGGCGAACGAAATCGCTTAACTTTTGCACCCCATAAAACTTACCAGCTATTGCTTAAAGGAAATCTAAAGTCGTGGCCGTCTATTAAATTTAACAACGTTTCCGTTAAACGAAAGGAGTCGGTTTGCTATCTCGGTCTAGTTTTGGAAAAAAACTTTTCTTTCATTGAGCATATTAAGGCTATTAGTGAGAAAGCCAAAAAAAACTTCTATGCGCTGACGCGAATTTCAAAAGCCACCTGGGGTCTCTCTTTTCTTACGCTCAGGATCATATACGGAGCAACCTACCTGGGATGCGTGTGCTACGGGGCACCTGTCTGGGCTGATAGGGCCACAATAGGCGCGGTACGGCGAAAACTTCTTCAAGGCCAGCGTCTAGCCTTGATTTTCCTGTGTAAGGCTTATAGGACGGTTAGCACTGAAGCCCTACCTGTGCTCGCGGGCGTACTTCCGGTAGATCTTGAGGTGCAGCGACGTGCTGCTATGTACTACAGTGCGAGACCTAATTTGTCAGCAAGCTTTCTGGCAGAACGTGATAGAAATAAAATTGCAAGATTGTTTAAGCCAATAACGGACGTTTGGGATGAGCTTATAACTGAATGGCAGGGTAGATGGGCATCTTCTATTAAGGGCCGCCACCTGTATCAGTTCTTTCCATCCGTGCATGAGCGGCTGGAGAGGACATGGTTGGAGGTGGATCACTGTGTTGCCCAATTTCTTACTGGCCACGGCAACTTTAAAGGCAAATTGTTCTCATTTAAACTTATTGATTCACCATGGTGCCAATGTTCGACAGAGGAGTTGCGATACGAGCAGTCGGCCCATCACATACTCTGGGAGTGTGATCTCTGGCAATATGAACGTAACACTATGTTAAATAATTTAATTGTTTCGTCAGGTGTAGTTTATTATACGGACCTTGTGGAATCTAGAACGAATTTCCGTGCGTTTAGGCGTTTTTGCCATACCTATTATTGGAAGCAAGTATAACAGCTCACACATAGGACCCACTTAGTTTTTAGTCAAATTTCCGTGGTGCTTGGCGACTGGGCTTCACCCAGTTGTACAGTCTCTTCTTTGTGCCTTTAGGCTTAATTCATTCTGTCTCCTGCAGTAATTCACCGAGGGAAGTGAAAACCATAGTTTTTCTTCTTCTCCTCTTATAATATCTTCTGATTCACTTCGTTGCGGGAACCAAGACAGTTACTCATGTCCCTGGGACGCGCCGGACTTCAGTGTTCCGGTGTTTTCATGGTTGTATCTACTGTAGATCCTGGCTTACAGGAGTTGC